GTAGACACAGTGAATGAGGACTTCCATTCAGACCAGGAGCCCTGGTGGCGCTGCTGGCTCAGCAGTGAACCACCCCACCCACCAGGCAGGCGGTTCTAACCTGTGAGAGATGGGTGAGGCTGTCTGCTCCCATACGGGGTTTCAGTCTGGGAACCCCGAGGAGTCAGCTGCTCCCCAGCAAGATGTGTGGCCGTCTGCTTGGTGGCCTCTGGAATCCCATGGGGACAGTTCTACTCTCGGGTTTGGTGGTGGTGGTTTTTCTTTGAGAGAATTGGACATGAACCCTGGTCCTTAGGAGAGGAACCCTGGATGGGGAAATTATAGAATCTCCATTTGCTAGAGTGAGTACGATGTCTCTTAAAACACACACACACACACACACACACACCAGACAGACACACCATCACAGGGAGAGAAAGCAGACTCCTTGTAACCCCGGAGGCAGACCCATGGATACTAGCAAAAGAACACCAGAGGTCATCTGCTGACACCAGAAACATGAGAGGTGTGGCCAGTGTCCCGGGGGTGTGGATGCAGACGTCTAGCCACCTGGGGAGAGGTGGGGGAACGTCTGTTCTTGAAAGGCACCTAGTACTCGGTGGTATTTTGTAGGTCCCCAGAGGGTCGGGAGAGGGAGGGACAGGCGGTTTGTAATTGATGAGTAACCTCAAGGCTGGTGGTGTGAAACCCCCCCACCCATCCAGCGGAAGAAAGGCCTGATCATCTGTTTCCACACAGATCATAAAGCTCCACTGGTTGCCGTTGAACCAGTTCTAGTTCTTAGCCACCTTATAGAGCAGAACACAAGGAGGGGGCTTCAAAAATGCGTGGGAAAATCCCATTCACTTTTAATCCCGTTTCCCACCAGCTTTTTTTTGAAAACCCATAGGGTTTCCAAGTTCACACATCTTTATGAAAGCAGACTGCCTCGTCTTTCTCCTGTGAAGTATCTAGGGGGGTTGGAACCACTGACCTTTCGGTGAGCAGATAAGCACATGACCATTGTGGCACCAGGGCCCATCCCTCGTGATGACCCCCTACCGGGTTGCTGAGCCGGTTCATCTGGACCCGGAGCAGACAGCCTCATCTTGATCCAGAGGAGGGAACAGCTCAGCCCCCAAACCACACCACCGCCAGGGCTAGGGAGGGTCCCTGAGACCACGTGGAAATCCATGGTCAGTGTGGAAAGTGCAACCTCAGGGCCTTGGGCTGGACGTCGGTTAGCTCTCGGCAATCAAGGGAAGTCTGAGTGGGTGGCTTGTCCAGTTCCTGCCTGCTCTATGAGCACCGACTTTTCAAAGCAGCTTTCCTGGGGGAAATCGATTTTCCTTCCTGAATGGCAACTGCTGGGTTCACTGCCGTCCTTCCCCCATCCCACCCTGCTCCCAAGGGCCTGCTGAAGGGCCTCCGAGGCACACAGCTGCACACCTGGAAGTCATCTGACATTGCCGTGGTCAGGGTTCAAGCCTAGTGCCGTTGTACCCTGCCATCAGCACTTGGGCTAAAGGCTCATCCAGAGGTCCCCGTTCCAAGTGCTAAGCTGGGTTGTTGCCGCCAAGTTGCTAGTGTCGCACGTTCCCAGGCTCTGCGCAGCTACTTCTGGGAAGAGGCCTGTTAAGCCGGTCCACATTCCAGGGCGCTGAGCCAAGGTGAGGGGCCAGAGTCCCCGCACAAAAGGCCCAGGGATCTTTGGTGCCTTCCTAGTCCCAGGCTGGGGTGGAAAACAAAGGGGCAGGGAGGCTCGCAGGCAACTGTTGCCAGGGATGGAGGACCGGCCTGCCTGGAGAGAGGAGCCGGCCTGGGACCCAGAGTCCTGTTAGCCGATGTCCTGCCTCAGGCCATCTTCCTTCCTTGACTCATCTGCAGTCGGTATCTGCTGAAGAGTCCTGTTGGCCACCAGGGGGGAGATGTCTCAGACACAGCGTGAAAGAGGATTCGCATTCAGGAAGGAGCCCCTGGGGGTGAGGTGGGGGCCACGAACAGAGAAGCACTCAACTACTAGCCCAAAGCTTGGCAGTTCCAAACCACCCAGAGGCACCTCAAAAGATCGGTTGCAAACTCCTGCCAGATGGTCATCTTAGCCTGGAAAAGCCTCTGGGCAGGTCTACGCTGCACATACGGGTCCCCAGGAAGGGGAGGCGGCTTGAAGGCCCCTAATCACATACGGATGAGGTGGCTGAGACGCCCCCGCCTCCAGTCTGCCCGGAGAGGGCTGCCTCCGTGCAGAAACCAAGAAGAGGCCAAGGTGAAGGAAGAGATTATGGCCTCCAAGAAGAGTAGTCACCTGCTAAGGAAAAGTTCAGCTTCTGGCTGTGCCCAGGACCCAGTCCCTCGGGAGCATGGGAGACAGCCACCTCCCGAGTTCCCTGGGCACCGAGCTCGGACGGGTCCCTGAGCAATGATGTGTCAGGAGACCTCTGGGGAGCTCTGTACCTGAAAGAACACAGTGGGTCAGTCTCCTCTACAAACTCCCGTTCCTTCCAGCAAGGACTCACACACCGTGCCACCCACGCTCAACCAGCAGCTCAGGGGCCCGTGAGAATGCCTGTCACAGGCAGAAAGGGGAGGAGATCCAGAAAGGGCTTCTTGCCAGGTCTTGGGGTCTTTCTGATCCGGAGTCGTTTGCACCGAGGCGCAGCTGGGCACAAGCATGGAGGCAGTTAAACATCCCTCTCAGTTTGGCCGGGGAGCCCTTCAGATGCAAGAAATTCTCTCGTTGTCACCGAATTTTTCAAGTATGGATTTGGTGTTCCTTCCTGACAGACAGGGTCTGGCCTCAAACTTCCATCCGAGGGGAGAAGTTGCTCATTGGCTTCTGAGCAGATCCCTTCTGGCATTCCCACAAAGAGGTCTTGGGGTTCTCTGGGTGGAATCTCGGGTGAAATCAAGGGGTCGTGGAAGCTCTTTCTCAGAAGTTGATCAGGCGTGCAGAGGGAGATCACATATTCATTCTTCCCCTCTCCAACAATATTCTTCTGATGTTTCAGAAGCTCTTCTGTGGAAACTCCTTCCAGAAAATTCTCAGAGCTCACTACCAACTTGTCGATAAGGTCACTGGTGTCATAGTAGAGTGCTAGAATCCTGTCTTCGGTGCTCAGGGAGCTAGCAAACTGTGCCATCTTCAGACTCAGCTTATTCTGGAAAAGGAGACAGGGATACGCTGAGTGGGTATTTCAGGGGCACCTGTCATGTAACTAAGAAGCCATTAGACTTTGGACACTCCCTTCTGAAGAGCCCCCTCCCCACCATCTTGCTTCTAAAGACTAGAAGTGGTGCCCAGTCACCTCCACATGCCCCTCCATAGGAGCTGGACAAGAATAGGCCATTTTCTGAGGAGGGAAAAGCCCCTGTTTAAAAGTTCTGTGTCTTCTGAGGAACGACACAATCAACTGCTCACAAAACCTCTCACGTAGGGAGCATCGAGATGAGAACTCAAAGTAAAACCACAACTTAGAGACAAATGACTTTCTAGCATTTTCCAGAAAATCAAAGGTAGCCTCATGGCAAGAGCACTTGCCATCTTCCCGTTGTCGGGGCCTAGCCCAGTGCCTGGCTTACCCCCAACCAAACACACTGCCATTGAGTCGGTGCCGATGCCAGCACCTGTGGGCTCACAGGTGAGGGTAGAACTGGTAGTGGCTGTGGGTCTCCACGCTGTCACTCTGTACGGAGTAGAAAGCCTCATCTGTCCCCTGACATGGAGGTGAGGGTTTCTAACTGCCAACCTTGTGCTTAGCAGCCCCACCTGTCACTAAGTGCTTGCTGTAGAGGCCAGCTCTACCGATCATTAAAAAATGCACTTTACCCATCAGACAGCACCACCTGTGATTCATGTGTTTTCGTAAGAACCTTTTAAAGGTTGGGAAATAAATAGGAAAATATGGCAGCTAAAAGTGAGAAACCAAAATGAATCTCATTATAACAAAAACAATGTCTACATTGGAAAAAGATTTCTGAGATGTAGAGGGGCGAATATTAAAAATTTCTTTAGCAAGTTTCTTAATAAAGAGGACTTACAAGCATAGTTGATCTGACGTATTAAATACTACATAAGCAAGAATGCTGACTTACAATCAGAATAGTTTTCAATGTAAAAATATATATGTGATAAAGGAAGGCTTTTTGGGTTTTCTAAAATCATTTTATTGGGGGCTCATACAACTCTTATCACAATCCATACATACATCAATTGTGTCAAACACAGTTGTACATTTGTTGCCCTCATCATTCTCACAACATTTGCTCTCCACTTAAGCCCTTGGCATCAGCTCCTTATTTTTCCCCTCTCCTTCCCCACTCACCCCTCCCTCATGAACCATAATAATTTATAAAAAATTATTATTTTGCCATATCTTACACTGTCCAACATCTCCCTTCACCCACTTTTCTGTTGCCCATCCCCCAGGGAGGAGGTTATATGTAGATCCTTGTAATCGGTTCCCCCTTTCTACCCCACATTCCCTCCACCCTCCCGGTATCACCACTCTCAGCACTGGTCCTGAAGGGATCATCTGTCCTGGATTCCCTGTGTTTCCCTTCAACACTTCATGATCACACAGGCTGGTGTGCTTCTTCTATGTGGGCTTTGTTGCTTCTCAGCTAGATGCCCACTTGTTTACTTTGAAGCCTTTAACATCCCAGATGCTATATCTTTTGATAGCCGGACACCATCAACTTTCTTCACCACATTTGCTTATGCACCCACTTTGTCTTCAGCGATCATGTCAGGAAGGTGAGCATCATGGAAGGTGAGCATCATAGAATGCCAGTTTAATAGAACGAAGTATTCTTGCATTGAAGGCATGCTTGAGTGGAGGCCCATTGTCCATCTGCTACCTTAATACTAAACCTATAAATATATGCACATAGATCTATTTCCTCATCCTCGTATATAAATATATTTACATATGTACATGCCTTTATTTAGACCTCTATAAATGCCCTTTGCTTCCTAGCTCTTTCCTCTATTTCCAAAAGAGGAAGGTTTCCACTTAAGTATAATTTACCAGAAAAGGGCATTGTCAGCTAAGCAAGTGTGACTATAACTTCCCCAACCTGAGAAACACACTCTGAGGTAGCCTGTTCTGGTTTGCTCTGCTCTGGCTCTCTGGAAGGCCTGGATGCTTTTAAAATGGTCTCAACTCCAGAGTTAAGCAAAAGGTGGACATTTCAAATGTAGCCAGAGGCACTTTGGAAGAAAGGCCTGGTGATCTACTTCCGCCAGGGCATCGCCATTGAAAATCCTATAGAGCAGTCTTACCATGAGGACTTGGCATCAACGTGCACTGCACTCTACTGGATGGCAACTGGTTTGGTAGGTTTGTGTTTTGCTTTTGAATCCTGTGGGGGGTGGGGAACACCTGCTTTTTGATCCACAGCCTCCCTACGGTACCACTTGTAGGCTGGACGTTGGTGGGTCCCCATGAGCCGGAGGGGGCCCTTTTCTCTTATCCAAAGCATGAGGTTACAGCAGTCCCTGGAAGGCCAGTCCCATCCGCCCTGCCAATCATTCCTTGCCATGTCCCAACCTTTAGCTCTCTTTATGTGAACTCCTCTGTGCACAGCTCAGCTCAGGCCTTAATCCCACGACCATCAAACTGGTCTGCCTCCCACAAACAGCTTGCCCCGAAGATTTCCTCCACCAGAGCAGCTTACCTTGAAATCTTCTCTAGGCCACGCTGCTATTCTGCTCTCAGCGGGGTTGGGGATGACGGGCCAGCAAAGGTGTTTCAGTTTGCTAGGGAGAGATTCAAAAACAGAAACTGAGTCCAAGAAGCCTCTTACCACCTGGTATAGCTGAGCCCAAAGAAGAAAGTTTGCTAAGAAGAATGATCTGGTTCTTTCTTCTGTAAGGGTGAACCCTCAACCTAGGAGGAGAGTACAGGTGATGAAGCTAAAAGCCTGCAGAGGGAGGAGTCTTCCTACCGTGACCCTCTGCCCCCGGCCGTCATCTCCACTCCAGGTGCTGGTGGCTGAAGTGGCACCATCACAGTCACCCCGGAAATTCACCCCCTGGCGGAGGAACACCCCAAGCACTCTAAGGACCATGGTTCCCCGGTGTGGCCCCAATCAGTAGCATCAACCACTCCTGGAAACATGTTAGAAGTCTAAAATTCTTGTTTTCATCTCAGAACCATGGAATCAGAAACCCTTGGACGGGGCCTGATTCTGTCACAGAAAGATGGGATGGAAAGATGACGGAAATTTCCCAAGAACTTCGGGAAGCCTCTTAGTACAAGGTTTTGTGCTGGAGACCTGATGATAGCCTACAGGTGGGACCAACACAGGGTGGCGTCAGAGGCTGGCCTCAGCAGCTGCTTGGCAAAGAAGTCCACGCCTGCTCAGTTCTGGAGAGAGAGCTTTCCTGAGGCAGAGACCTTGACCGTCAGGGCCTATAGCAGGAGACACACACACACTGACATCCAGTCAATTATGACTCACAGCAAACCGATAGGACTGGGTAGAACTGCCCCTGCAAGTTTCTGAGGCTATAACTTTATATGGGTGTTGAAAATCCTGTTTCTCTCACAAAGCAGCTGGTGGTTTCGAACTATTAACCTTGCAGTTAGCAGCCCAACTTATAACCCACAATGCCCCCAGGACTCTAAGAGCCACATGGAGGGGAGAAAAGCTCAGGACATTGAAGACACGCTTTCTTCCCCACAGTGATCAGGGCAGGAGGCACCAGTGCTCCTGTAGTCAGCCCTCCAACTCTGCACCACCACAAAAACAAGTGTGCTGGGCATACAATTGGCCAGGATGCCATGGGACACAGCTCGCGGCTTTCCCTGAGAGGCCACAGGCCCCTGTAGACACTGAAAGCTAGGGCCTCCTCTCCAACTTTTATCTCAGGGGAAGCTAGTACTACTTCGGCCTCAAAACTGGCCTACATCCTCTCTTTTGGTCAGAATTTCACTGAGCCACAGAGTGTGGTACATAATAGTCACAATAAATATTTACTAAAATACGAGATGAATGGATACCACCTTGGCAGTAGCATGCCCTCACCACCACCCACCACCCCCTTGGTGACTTCCACCCCTTTGCAGCCTGCACTTGGAAAGGAGAACCATAGCCCATAAACTCACTTGGGGTTCTTCAAACCATATGCCACCGTCAGGATGAGGAGAATCAGAAGGCCTCCTCCAACCAGAGACGTGATGAGGAAAATCTCCATGACGTCTGTGGAAAGCAGGAGAGCAAAGGTCAGTGGCAGAGTGGGCGCCTCGTGGTCTTCACGAGATCCGAGATGAACTCTGTGCCCCAGGAGCTTCGGCAGCACCTTGGTTAGAGGTTGAACATGAACCACGAGAAGATGCATTGGTGTGAACTAGCTCCTATGCCTAGATCGGATATGGAACCCTGGTACAGCAGCGGGGTCGAGTGTTGAGTTGCTAACTGCAAGATGGAGGGTTCAAACCCACCGGCTGTCGGCTCCCATGAAGAGTTACAGTCTTGGAAACCCTAAGGAGCAGTTCTACTCTGTCCTATAGAGTTGAAATGAGTTGGGATTGAATCAATGGCAGTGAGTCTGGGTTGTTTTTGTTGTGTGTGTGTGTGTGTGTGTGTGTGTGTGTGTGTGTGTGTCCTAGTGGATTCCTCACTGGGCTGTGAACCATAAGGTCACCAGTCACTTCCACAGAGAAAAATGAGGCTTTCTGTTCCTGCAAAGATTTACAGCCTCAGAGACCCAAACAGAGTGTTACCCTGTCCTGCAGGGTGGCTATGAGTCAGCACTGACTCGGAGGCAGTGAGTTCAAGTTCAAAATCAGGAGCCATGGTGGCGGAGTTCTAGCCTGTCCCACAGTCCCAGTGGGTAACCCCCTCTGAGAAGAATGCTTTCTTTGTTATGTCCGGGGGTGTATACTACATCTCATCACTTCTGAGTTCCAAGGAGCAGTACAGACAGAGAGACAGGCAAGCTCCAACGAAGGAGACAGGGGCCATGTGAATATCGGCACACATCCCAGGAAGGAATGCCTGGACTACAGATGCTGAAGGAGACAAGGATCTTCCCCGAGAGCAGTGCTTCTCAACCTTCCTCATGCCGCCAGCCTTGAATCCAGTTCCTCATGTGGTGGTGACCCCCAACCATAAAATTATTTTCATTGCTACTTCATCACTGTCATTTTGCTACTGTTATGAATGGGGTGACCCCTGTGAAAGGGTCATTCGACCCCCCAAAGGGGTCGCGACCCGCAGGTTGAGAACCCCTGCTCTACATGATTTGAAGGAGTCTGTGACACAGCGACAAAATAACTCAAGCAAAACTCAACTCTGCCAGAGTCGGTTCTGACTCGTCGCAACCTTCAGCGCAGAGTTAGAACCGCACCCTTTGGTCTCCGAGGCTGGAAATCTTTGTGGAAGCAGAAAGCCGCATCTGTCTTCCCGGAGCAGCTAAACAAAACCAAACGCACTGCCATCAAGTTCATTCTGGCTCAGAGTGAAAGCGCAGGTAGAACTGCCCCTGGGGGTTTCAAGTTTGTAATTCTTTAAGGGAGTAGAGAGCCTTGTCTTTCCCCCTCCAAACAGCTGGTAGTTTCAAACTGCTGACCTGGCAGTTAGCAGCCCAACGTGTAACCACTACCCCACCACGGCGCCTCAAACCAAACCATACTCCCTGCCACCACAGTCAATGCTGACTCATAGCAAGCCGCCTGTGGGTTTCTGAGACGGTGTTTCTGGAAGTAGAAAGCCCAGCCTTCCTCCCACAGAGCTGCTGGTGGTTTTGAACTGCCAACCATGCGGATCACAGCCGAGTGGGTTTGAATTACTCACCTTGTGGTCAACAGCCCAATGCATAACCACGTGCCACCAGGTCCTTTAACAAAACACCTCGGCTCTCCAAATCCAGGTCTCCCTGCTTTCCGGCCACCTAGTCTGTGTTCCCTACTCTCCCTCCCAGAAGTTCAGTGAGCCGGAAGCAGGACAGCTTTCCTCCCTGAAGACAGTGGTGGGTTTCCTCCTACCACTGGTCAAAGTCACCCTGAGGGAGATGTCAAGGAGGCGTCCCCATGGCACGGAGAAAATACTCACTCAGTGACAATGTTTTGAAGTTGACCCTGGTTCCGTTGGCTCCCCCAGCAATGGTGCTGGCCATGACCTGGACCGTATAAGGGGTATTTCGTGCCAGGGACTCCAGCTCACACTGCAGAGTGTTGGAGTTGACTGTCATGGCTAAATAAATGTAAAAAATAGAGCGAGATGTCAAATACCACAGCTGAGCCTGACAGAACATTGCCCTTGAGGACCCCAAAGAAGATCACTGGACTTCCATGTCTGGACACCAACCCCTCCCACTATGGCTCACTTAAAATCACCTGTGAAGGTTAGTTAGAGGCCTGCACATGAGTGCAGGCACTCTTGGAGAAAAAAGGAATAGGGGTGAGTCTTCATAACCTCCCTTTTGGCAGTGGTTTCTTAGAACACCCAAAGCACAAGCAACAAAAGAAAAATGAGATAAACTGAACATAAACACCAAAATCTTGTGTGCATCCAGAAAATAAAAAGAACCCACAGGAGAAAATATTTGCCGGCATTAGAGCTGATGAGAGTCTAGCATAGAGAATTCTTACAAGCAGCAACAAAAAGATCAACCACCTAACTTTAAAATGGGCCAAAGGTTTGCACAGATTTTTAAAGAGGACATAAAATTGGCTAACAAGCACATTGGAAGGTGATCAACATCTTCAGTCATTAATCAAACCCAGAGCAGTCACAAATGAGGAGATGAGGTCTCTTTGGACTGCTGACCAAGGCTTTCTGTCCAAAGTCCTGTTGCACAGTAGCTCAAATTCACAGAAACTGGTGACCATGACCTTGAAGCCAGTCAGCTCCTTATCAAGGTGACTCCATGTATGTCCGAGCAGAAATGTGCTCCATCGGGTTTCCAATGGTTCTATGTTGTTGAAGAAGATTGCCTGGTCTTTCTTAGAAAGTACCTGTGGTTGTATTTGGGGGTTTTGTTTGTTATTTCCTTTCCTTTTCTGTGGTTGTATTTGAACTTCCGATCTTTTTGCTAGCAATTGAATGAATTAGCCATTTGTAACACACAGCTCAAACCAAAAACTCACTGCCATTGAGTTGATTCCAACTCAGCGACCCTATAGGACAGTATAGAACTGCTCCTGTGGGTTTCTAAGAACTGTACATTTTTAAAGGTATAGAAAGCTTCATCTTTCAATGCATTAAAAAAAACCAATTGGACAGTTCTATTCTGTCATATGAAGTTGCTATGAATCAACATCCAGCATCAAGCAGAACAATAACGAATAAGGAATCCTTGGGTGTTACGAAAAGAGCTCTGGTGGCGTAGTGGTTACATATCGGGCTGCTAACTGCAAGGCTTTCTACCCCTGTAGGAATTTACAATCTCAGAAACCCACCGGGCAGTCCTTCTCTGTCCTGTAGGGTCACCTTGAGTCAGAATGGGCTCTAGCAGTTGGGTTTGGAATGGTTCAGAAACTCTACAAAGCAGATTGCCGTCCGGCCTTTCTGAAACAGAGCCACTGGGTGGGTTCAAATTGGCAACCTTTCTGTTGGCAGCCAAGCTCACGACCAGGAATCCTTCACTTGACTCCCTGCCATCAGGTCCATTGTGACTCAGCGTGATGCTACAGGACAGAGGAGAATTGCTCCTTTAGGTTTCTAAGGCTGTCAATCTGCAGAACGCTTCATTTTTCTTCCTCGCAGTGGCTAGTGGGTTCAAACTGCTGACCTTGTGGTCTGCAGCCCAAATTGTAACCCACTGTGCCACCAAGGTGCCTTGGAAAAATGCAAATCAAATCCATCATGAGATAACGCTTTACACTTAGTAACATGGACACATATGTTAGTGAGGATGTGAAAAACAAATTGGAGAATTCATACATGACTGCGAGAAGTTCAAAGGTCATCTGCTGTGGAACACATTCTGGTAGTTCCGCAGAAAGTTGAACATGGAAGTGTCACATGACCCAGCAATTCCACTTCTAAGTATATACCCCAAAGAACTAAAAATAGGTGTTTGAGCCAAAATTTGTACATGAATATTCACAGCAACACTATTCACAATAGCCAAAAGGTGGGAGCCACTCAAAGGTCCATCAGCTGACAAATGGGTAAACACGATGTGGTACAGGGGACTCTTCATCCTAAAATGGAACGAAGTCATGGTACAATAGACCTTGAAGACAGTATGCTAAGGGAAAGAACTAAGAACGCAGACACAAAAGGTCACATCGTTAAGGGTCTTTCTGAGTTGGTGACATTTGAACGGAGTCTTGGAAAACATAAGTGAGTGAAAGAAGGTAGGCACGGAAAGGTCACATCGTGTAGGACCCACTTAGATGAAATAGCCCGCATAGACCAATCCAGAGAGAGAAAGCTAACCAGTAGCTTCCAGAGGCTGGGAGGACTTGGAAAAGAAGTGAGCAACAGGCCCGGAGTTTCCTCTTGGGGTGCTGAGGTGCTGCAACTGGAGAGGGAGGTGATCCTCGTGAAACACTGTGAAGGCACTGAGAACCGCTGAATTAGACCCTCTCACACAGCAAACATGGTACATTTTACATTTTGTACCTTTTACCCGAGTAAAACCAAAATTATCAGCCTCCACAGGAATCCAACCCTGAATGCCGGAAGTACCAACCTTGTGGGTAGGAGGCCAACACTTAACCAACGGTGTCATTAGAGTCCCTGAAACACCAAGTTCTCAGCAGATGTACCCTGGCGATGCCAGAATCATCTGACATTAACCCGGTTCAAGAGATTGTTTAACATTCTATCAATTCAATGTAAAAGTAATGGAAGGAGTATTCTCTGCTCTATCTTATATCAGCATACACTTTTTAGTTACATTTAACAAAGGAAGGGCAAAATTATAATTGGTTGTTACCAATCCTACCAATCATCTTCATTATAAAATAAATAGCTAGGTTCTAACCTTGCATAAGATCCACATTTTATTCCATGTTGTTGATTCTGTTGTTGTTAGGTGCCATTTGCTCAGCTCGGACCCATAGCCCAACAGAATGAAACACTGCGTGGTCCTTCCCGGGTCATCCGCACAAGTGTTCCTATTCCTGGATCCATTGATGCAGCCATTGATCTCACCGAAGGCCTTCCTCTTTTTCACTGCCCTTCCACTTTACCAAACATGATGTCCTTCTCCAGGGACTGGTCTCTCCTGACAATATGTCCAAAGTATATAAGACAAAATCTTTCCATCCTTGCCTCTAAGGAGCACGCTGAGCTTACTTCCTCCAGTAAAGAGTGGTTGGCGTTGGTACTTACACTATTCTTTTAACAGTGTCTGGTACTTTCACTAGTCTTCTCCAGCACCACAATTGAAATAAATGCACTGATTCTTCTACAGTCTTCCTTATGCAATGTCCAACTTTCACGTGCATACGATGCAATGGAGAATACCATGGCTTGAGCCAGGTGCACCTTAGTCCTCAAAGTAACATCCTTGCTCTTCAATACTCTTGTGCAGCAGATTCATCTAATTCAATACGTCTTTTGATCTCTTGACTGCCGCTTCCATGAGCATTGATTGTTCATTCAATCCAGAAAATATCATTGACAACTTCAACCTTTTCTCAATTTCTCATGATGGTCCAGTTGTGAGGATTTTGGTCTTCCTTACATTTAATTATAATCTATACTGAAGGATACAACCCTTGATCTTCATCAATTCCTCCTCACTTTCAGCAAGCAAGGATGTGCCATCTGCGTATCTCAAGTTGTTCATAAGCCTTCCTCCAATTCCGATCCTGATGCCACACTCTTCTTCATATAATCCAGTTTCTCTGATGATGTGCTCAGCATATAGATTGAACAAGTATGGTGAGAGGAGGCAACCCTGACTCATGCCTTTCCTGATTTTAAACCGCACAGCATGCCCTTGTTCTGTTCACACAACTGCCTCTTGATCCACGCGCAGGCTCCATGAACACAGTGGAATCTTCTGGAATTCTTCTCAAGGTTATCCAGAGCTTATTATGTATGGTCCACATAGTCGAATGCCTTTGTCAATGAAACACAAGTAAACATCTTTCTGGTATTCTCTGCTTTCAGCCATGATCCATCTGACATCAGCAATGATATCTCTTGTTTCATGTCCTCTTCTGAATCTCACCTGAACTTCTGTCAGTTCATTGTCAATGTACTGCTGCAACCATTGTTGGATGATCTTAAGCACAATTTTACTAGTGTGCAATATCAATGACATTGTTCTATAGTTTGAAGATTCTATTAGGTCACCTTGCTTTGGGATAGGCACAAATATGAATCTCTTCCAGTCAGTTGGCCAGGTAAGCTATCTTCCAAATTTCCTGATGTAGACGAGTAAGTGTTTCTGTGCTTCTTCAGCTCGCTAAAACATTTCAATGGGCATCCCATCAATTCCTGGAGCCTTATATTTGGCTGATGCATTCAGTGTAGTGTGAGCTTCTTCCTTCAGCACCATTGGTTCTGGCTCATATGCTACCTCCTGAAATGGTGAGATGTCAACTAGTTCTTTTGGGTACAGTGACTCTGTATTCTTTCCATCTTCCTTGATGTTTCCTGCCTCATTCAGCATTTTGTCTATAGAATCTTTCAAGATTGAAACTTGAAGGCTTGAATTTTTTATTACATAGGAACTAAGTTTCTGGCCAAAGAAAATGAAACTAGGACAGTCTTTGAGATTCCTAAAAGCTGGCCTACACAGAGAAGAAAGTGATATAAGGATTAGACAATAGCTCGTTAACCCAACAATACCACTAACTTTCTGAAAGCAGAGTCCACCACCTGGAACCCAGTCTGACCAGTTAGGGAAGAAGCATGCTTCTTCCCAACCATAGGAGCTAACCCAATTGCAAGTCTACTCAGAGCATCTCTCTAGGACTTCTCTGTTGTTTTCTTTTGGCAGGACTATGGGTACACTTACACAGTTCTTCACCATTTTCAGCTTGGTAAAATATGGTGTAGTTGATGATGAAACCATTTCTCTGGCTCTTGGGAATCTCTTTCCATGTTACCGTGACTGTCCTCTTATCAATGTTTGCTACATTCGTCACAGGACCTGCTGATGGAACTTTAAAGGACAGAAAGTGAGTTAAACCTCTCAGAAGACTGCAGATGGTGCCCAGCTATCAATCAAAATAGTGTCTGAGGTCTTACAGGCTTGTATTCAAACATCTAAGTGAGGCATCAACGAAGTCCACATCAAACGCATCAAATCAAGCTAGGATATTTAAAGTTACATAAATATGTGGATATTTTATTAATATATTTATGGTTGCACAAGTCTTCAGATTACTAAATGTTGTAGCTTTAAATCTTGGCAGGGAAGAGCTACAATCCATATAGGTGTAGATAAAAAAATGTTGTTTGTGGGGTTCAAAATACATCTATTGCCATCCTTTCTAAATAAAAACATTTATTTATTTATTTGTTTGTTTGTTTGTTTGTTTGTTTGCTTAATTAGGGGCTCATACAACTCTTATCACAACCCATACATACATCAATTGTGCAAAGCATATTTGTACATTCATTGCCCTCATCATTCTCAAAGCATTTGCTCTCCACTAAAGCCCCTGACATCAGCGCCTCATTTTCCCCCTCCCTCAAAGCATTTTATTCTTTCTCCTACTAAAGAATTTTCCAATGTATGATGAATGCTGTAGGGCTCCTAAGGGGGTCTTAATTAAGTAGCAGTTCTGGTTGGAGCTCCGCTTGTATGTACAATAAGTTACAGTGTCCCCTCGAGTTTGCATTTAGGAAGTCAAGAGAATTTATTGGAACTCTACTACCTATCCTGGCTTTGAAATTAGTGAATCTTTAATCTGACCACACTGGGTCACACACATATAGCTTAGAATAAACTGGAAGTGCAGCAAGGATGGGCTCCAAAGGGATCGTGAATAAGCTCCAGCGAGCCAGAGCCTTACCAAAATGTTGGCTAAGTTCCAGGGCTTCCCTCCCCTAGCAGGCCTGTTTCATACTGTAGAACATAAGGCCATTGTGTGTTGGAACCAATTCAAAGGCACCTAACCGCAACAACATGCCTCTGTCCACACATACCTCCTTCTTTGACATAAGCCTGGATGGAGCAAGGCTCGCCCACTTGGTTTTGAAACATTGGATATATCGAGATGTTATAGCATAAGAAAGGCTTTAATTTGTCTGTAAAAAGGGGAGAAAATCAGGCATTAAGTGGTGAGCATAGCACAGTGGAGGGAACTGTCTTCTAAGAGTTGCGGCTCATCAGCAAGCTACCCTGTCCTCCATTGTTTCCACATCTGCAAAGTAAAGGCAGTTAGGTTGGATGGTCCCTAATGCCTCTTCCATACACAGGCATTCTTTGTCTGATCGCACTTCATTTTACTGTGCTGCACACATCCTGCAATTTTTACAAATTGAAGGTTTCTGGCAGCCCTGTGTTGACTGTTGAAAAGACTCGTTCCATGACATTTTTCCAACAGCATGATTATTATCTGTGATCAAAATATGAAAGTTGGCAACAAAGAGGAAGGAAAAGCAGTTGGAAATATGGCCTTAGTGATAAATGAAGCTGGAGATGGCATGGTATAATTGTACACGATCAATGACTTGTTCGTAGTAAAGATCTTTTTAAAGCAACACAAAAGGTCACTTCATACATGTCTTCCACAGATGGAATACACAGAAATCAAATTGACTTCATCTGTGGGAATAGATGGTGGAGAAGCTCAATATCAGCTGCTAAAACCAGGCCAATTGTGGAGCAATCAATTGCTCATATGTAAGTTCAGCTCTTCTGTCCTCCTGCATCCCTGCTTAAGTCTACTTACGAACATACAAGCCATGGAAAGGGACTGTATTTCAACTCAGTCTATAGAAGAGAGTCTAACTGTCCTGTAGAGTTTCCAGGGCTGTAGATCTTTATGGAAGCAGACTGCCTCATTTTCTTTGAATACCTGTAGGCTTGAAAGACTGACATTTTGGTTAGCAGCTAAAGTAACCACCAAGGCTCCTTTACTTATTGACATAGGTGCTGTTAGGTAGTAAGAAGTGGTCGGACTGCTGGATTGAAGGGTAAAGCCTCGCTCATGTCTCAGTGAGGCAGGGGCATTGTTGTAAAGAAGGCCATTCCTTCATTCACTTGGGGAAAGGGCCTAGTTCTTAATGGTAACTAGAACATAAGGGATATTATAGGTAGAGGGCAGGCTGGCTCCAAGACATATGTGTGGGAAGGGTTCTTTGATGACTAAAACAAAACAAAACCCTTTCAAACTCGCTGGCATTGAGTCGATGCTGACTCATAGTGACCCAGTAGGACAAGGAAGAACTGCCTATGTGGATTTCTGAGTTTCTAAGACTGTAACTCTGTCTTGCTCCCATGGAGCAACTGGTGGTTTCAAACTGCTGACTTTTCAGATTGCAGCCCAAGGTGTAATCACTATGCCACCAAGGCTCCATTGTTGAAAATTAAAAAAAAAAACAACAACACCTTACAGCCATTGAGTCAATGCTGACTCATAGTGACGCCCTGTGGGTTTCAGAGACTGTAACTGTTTATGGGAGTAGAAAGCCCGGTCTTTCTCCTTCAGAGCTGCTGGTGGTTTTGAATTGCCATCTGCGCTCCCTGTCTTTGATGATAGTGGGTGTTAAAATAGAGTTTTTCCTCAAGAGACAGACTGGGATGAAGGAAGTAAGGAATTCAGTCACAGAGTCTGTAAAATTATATGTCCTTGGAGAAAGAAGGTAGATATCACAAAACTCCCAAGAAAGATGAGAGAAGACTCATAGGAGTAAACATCTGTGATTTGGAAGGGGCATTCAACATTTTTATCCATGTTTATTCTCCCTTCCCTCTGGGACACAACACAGCAGTGGTATGTTATGGGCTCCTGGTCATCCTCAAAGGCATCTCATGGGGACATGGAGGTGCCTGGATCAACTTCCATTTGCTGTCTCAAGAACTTGCCATTTCTCGTCACTCATCTTACTTTACAAAAGAAAGATACTCCTCTCAACCACGCCTACCAGGGATTTCTCTGGGGAAACTGGGACTATTGGCTTCAGAAACCTAACAAATACACAACAAAGTCTCTGCCACTGAGTCAATTCTGACTCATAGTGACCATATAGGGTCCTGTGGGTTTTGAGATTGTTAAGCTTTACTGGAGTAGAAAGTTTCATCTTTCTCTCTTAGAGCAGCTGGCGGGTATGAACAGCTGACCTTGAGGTTAGCAACCCAATGTGTTACCTACTATGTCAGCAGGGCTCTTTTGATATCAGAAGACCTTCTTTAATCAAAGTGCTGCCAACTTGCCAGGAGTTCTGGTGATGCAGTAGTTAAATGCTTGGCTGCTAACCAAAAGGATGATGTTTTGAACCCACCAGCCACATCTCTGGAGAAAAAGAATTATAGCCTTAGAAACCCGTGGGGCATTTCTACTCTGTCCTATTGGGTTGCTATGCGTCAGACCATACTCAGAGACAACAGGATTGGTTTAGTGTAAACCTGTAGGCATCCTTGGGAGCCCTGATGGCACAGTGGCTACCAATTGAGTTGCTAACTGCAAGGTCAGCAGTTTGAAACCACCAGCTGCTCTGTGGGGAAAACACAGGGCTTTCTATACCCGTAAAGAATTACAGTCTCAGAAACAACAAGAGCAGTTCTGCCCTGTCCTACAGGGTCACCATGAGCTGGAGTCAACTTGATGGGAGTGAGTTTGGTTTGGTTTGCTAGGAGTCCTGGCCTTGAACATACATCAACTGGGCATAAAGAAAAACTTGAGAAACCAGGTATTGCCCCATGTTGGAATCTCTAAATTTGCCTACACCGTAGAGTGAAATAGCCAGAGATATTATATTTTTATTCAATGATCATTCCACCTCCACCCTTGACAATGGTCGAGGAAGGCGTCCCTCCTGAGGAGCATTCCATGAGCCTACTGCCGAGAAGATGAAACGTCTTGCTTGCCATCTCGTGCCCTTTCTTTTTTTACAACACATCTGGATTCTTTAAAAAGTGTGTGCTTGTGTGTGTGTGTGTGTGTGTGTGTGTGTGTGTGTGTGTGAAGACAATTAAGAGTATAAGTCAAACTGTAAATAAGGTCAACATTCTCATGGAATCACCAGGCTGCCTTTGGGAACCTCACCTGGCTAAGTGCAAAGCCAGGAGTCAAGCACAACTACACAAGATCCTGATCGCATCAAGCTGATGGATCATGAAATGCCGTGTTTAACTGTGGACCCCTTTATAACTGTCTCAGAGAGAGTCCAGGGAACTAAGTGATATTGCTAGAACAAACCTCATCTGTCCTCATTTACTTACTCACATGAACAATGTTTCCTTAACAGGTATATTTATATAAATAAAAAATGAGATAAAGTTGATGCTGAATCCCACCAGTAAAATGCCATCAATGATACCTATTTTTTTAAAAAAGGAAAACATACCTCTTTTATTTCACTAGGAAATGTATTTTTAATAACATTTAATTTTTATCTTTAATAATCTGTATCTGCACTTCTAACATATTTGTGTTATTTTCAGCCATTGTAGGATATTAATCATTGTAATGCAAATGCAATCCAGCAGAAATTTTTCAGTAGTACAGGCTGAGAATCATAAATTTAAAAAATATATTGCAATTCAGATACACATTTTTAAATTGCAGAGAAATTTGATAGAATCAGCAATAAAACTTTTTCAAGTATGAAATATGAAAAAATAACATAGAGGTGGAATGAAAACACAAGTTCAAGGAACAAAAAGGACAATTAAATATATCTGACCATTAAATGCCTGTGTATGTGTTTTATTGAATCATGGTAGCTATCCGAATCCCCATCATAATTAGTTTTCAACTGATATAGCTTCAAAAGTGTTATAACAGTATTATTTAAAATACTTATATTCTCTGCATGATTTAAACTTAAGATTAAACCATTTTCAGGGCAAATTGAAAATACAAAGTTTGGAGAAAGTCTATTAGAGGGACTTAGAGGGAACCCAGTGCTGAGCATGTCAAATAAGAGGTTTGTCACCTACCTGTGTGCGCTTGTGTGAGAACCTTTCTAAGCTTCAGCTTCTTCATCTATAAAACGGGGGTGATAAAAGTCCCGGTCTCGAGAGTTGTTGTGAAAATGAATTGAGGTAAGTCTAGTGCCTGGCACAGAGCCAACACTCAATGCATGCCATTCTGATCGCCACCTGCCCAGTGTAAGCCAGCTAAGCTAAAAGACCTGTAAGGGAAACGTGTCCGTGTTGGAGCGTCGCCGTCCACTGCAGGTCGTGGGAATCTCTGAAGCCAGCAATTCCTGGGGGCAGAGGAGCTGAAGGGAAAAGGGACTCGGGGCCTGAGGCCTCCTGTTGACTTTGGGAGCCCTGCTCTGTGCTAGTTGGAGAGTCTGGAGTATGTTGGTTAATTCCTTCCTGTCTCTCACTTACACTTAAACTCAATTGGAGCAGGCGCTGAAGACTTCTCAAATCTGCCCTTGCTCAGGGACTTTCCCTACCCTGGCCTATTGCCTAAAAGTAGATATACAGTACAGACAATACAGGTTTCTTCGTATAGTTAAAAAGGCGGGGGGAGCAACCACAAGCTTCCTGAGAATTTCAGCCATTTACAAATGTGCCCACAGCGTCCTGTCCAAGACCTGCTGGGAAATGCCAACAAGAGTGCCACTTCACTGAGAGGTCACAATAGCTTGTCAGATGTTACTAAGCACATTTGTAGCTCTTGAAGCCAAAGTTAAAGATTGAAAACCGATGAAAGTGTAACTGAATCCTCAGAGAGGGAACTTAGAGATTCCACCCTGGTTACCTTTTGGAGCTGTCCAGTTCCTAGCCTGAGACACAACCTCCCAGGATCTAGCCACAGGCTCAGAGTCCAATTCTGGGAGCCATTCAACAATCCATGTGTCCACCTTTGGATCAGAGCTTTGCCACTCCACCACCAGCTGGTCCTCATTGAAGCAGGTCTGCATGACCTCCATGCACTGAAATGCTGAAAGGCAAGAAAAATAATTGCTCCATGGCTCCCCAACCCATCGTCCACATCCACCAACCAAACCTACATCCATTCAAGGAACAAAATTGTAAAGAAGGTCAAAGTTCAACTTCCCATGGCCCATTGTCATTGATCACTTTTGGTTCTTTGGCAAGACCACATTTCAGAAGAGAATCACTCCACAGAATTTTCAACAGTTGCCATTTTACCATAGACTGTCAGCCCTTTCTTCCGTGGTGCTGCGGGGTTGATTTGAACCACCAACCTTTTGGTTAATAACCAAGGACACACCTGACAACAAAACCAAAGAACCTTCGACACCATAGACTCCCCTTATTGTGCTAGTTATACTTTCTTTAGTTTACCCCCTTTCCCTACCCCTTGCCTCTGACGATTAAGTACCTTCTTTATCTTTGTTTAAAGAATTTTGGTAATGCTAACCACATGGTCAGTGGCTCAAACCCACCCACCAGCCACTCCTTGGGAGAGAGATGAGGCTGTCCGGTCCTATGAAGAGTTACAGTCTCAGAAACCCTAAGGAGTAGTTCTACTCTGCCCTATAGGATCGCTGTGAGTCAGAATCAACTCTATCGTAGTGAAATATTTTTTGGTTTTGTCTTTTAATCTTTGTTGAAGGGGTCCTGGTAGTGTAGTGGTGAAAGTGCTTAGCTGTATTCAGCAAAAGGTGAGTGATTAGAACCCAATATATTCCACATGAAGAAAGACGTGCCAGTCTGCCTCCACCGAGATCTACAGTCTTGGAAATCCTCTGGGGACAGCTCTACTCTGTCCTCTAGGCTCCTAAGTTGGAACCAACTCAAGACAGAGTTTGTTTTGTTTTCTTTTCTGAATATTTGCCCACCCAAAAGTAACTTGTTCCTAGAAAAGGATCTCTCTAGAGAGTTGTTAACTAAAAAGATTGGCCTTCCCCCAGAGTCTCTGCAATTGAAAAGGAAACCAAACCTGAGACAAAGAATGACTCTGACCATGGAGTTACAAGCACAGTGACTGCTCGGCTGGCGATCTGTGAGACACTGACCTCAAAATCATACAAGGGAGGTGTCTTCAAAACTCAGCAATCCAGATTGGCCCTCCACAAATGAGATAGGGATTTCTATCCTAGAGCCCATACAAATCATGTTTGCACCAGGAAGGCACAAAGACATCAATCCACAGCACTAATGTAAATCAGCATGTTCTGCGGACTTGACAAAACAGTCACCTCTGGAAAAGGACCACCAGGATTCCTTTAATAGAGAAATTGAACAAGTGGCTTCAAATCCAAATAGGGATTTAGTTAGAGTCAGAGGTCTGGTGATAAAGATGCTCTGACTACACAGATGAGAGAACAATGGGGCCCTCACTGGAGGAAAGGCGAGACAGGAACAGAGGGCATGGGGTAGCAGGGTTCCGGAAGTCAGTGTGTATTTCTCATTCACTGCTGCCCCATCCAACACACAGGCAGGCTTCAAGGTTGGAATCCACAGGAAGTGTATTGGAATAACCACAAAGGACAGTCCTGGATGGGGGACCAGATGGGAGGAGAGCAATAAACCAACCGATCATCCAGTTGCCCCCTAAAGCCAATTACAGCTCATGGCAACCCTGTGTGTTTGAGAGTAGAACTATATTAAATACCATTTTCAATAGTTATGTTTCTTCTGAAATAGATCGGTACATTTTTTTTTTCTCCTGCGATACCGCTGGGTATAGTCAAACATCCAATCATTCATTTAGTAGCTGAATGCCTAACCATTTGTCCCATGCAGGACCCCAAAAGAGGAGGCCATACCCCTCAAATAAGCCAAAAGTTCTGTGAGGCTGGGATCCTGGGCTAAGTGTTGGGATTCAGGGAAGGGACCAGGTGGTGAGCAGTGCTCTCACTAAGCAACAAGCCCCAGCAGGCTGTAGATCTGTTTACAAGGCTCTGTCCTTGTGAGCCATACTTTAGCTGTCCTTTTCCAAAGCGTTCACGAGACCTTTTTTTTTTTTTCAATCATTTCATTGGGAACTCGTACAACTCTTATCACAATCTATCCATCCATGCATTGTGTTAAGCGCATTGTACATATGTTGCCATCATCGTTTTCAAGGATTTTCTTTCTACTTGAGCCCTTGGTATCAGCTCCTCATTTTTCCCCTCCCTCTCCCTCTTTCCCTCCCTCCTGGACCCTTGATAATTTATAAATATTACTATTTTTTCATTTCTTTCACTGTCCGATGTCTCCTTTTACCCCCTTGTCTGTTGTCCATGCCCCTGGGAGGGGGTTATAGGTAGGTCATTGTGATCACTTCCCCCTTTCTCCCCCACCTTCCCTTTCCCCTCCTGGTATGGCTACTCTCAATATTGGTCCTGAGGGGTTTATCTGTCCTGTATTTACTCATCCTAGTAGCAAGGTGTCACGGATTGAATTTTGTCATTTTGCCTGGGCCATGATTGTCAATGGTTTGACAGTTATGTAACAATATAATCAGCCACATGTTGTGATCTACTGTGATCAATCAATCAGGTCTAGCATTTGAGTGAGCTAAAACAAAAAATCCAGACTCACAGTACAGGGTAGGACCTGCGACTTTCCAAGACAATAACTTTTTACAAGAGTAGAAAGGCCTGTCTTTCTCAATGGAGCAGTTTAGAACTGCTGCCTTTCACTTAGTAGCCCAACAAGAAACCACTATACCACCAGGGTTCCTGAGGGTAGGTTCTGATACTCTTATTCGGATCACAGCCCTGGTCTTACATAAGGGAGTTTCTCAGGGTATGGCCTATATACCCTTTTATCTTGATGAGCTAAAAGGAGAAAGGACTAAGCCAAGATCAGAGGGACATGAGTGCTCCCAAGAAAGAAAAGTCAGAAAAAGATCATGTCCTTTGGACCCAAAGTCCTTGAGCTGAGAATCCCCTAGACCCAGGGAAAGATTGATGCCAACACGCATGGAGATCTCCAAGGGATAGCAGGCCCATAGATGTTGAAAGGGGACAAGAACCAGAGCCTAGAACCTGAATTTGGACTACTAGCATCTTAAACTGTCAGAGAATAAATTTGTTGGTAAGGCCCTCCATCTGCAATGTATCTATTACAACAGCACCAGATAACTAAAGCAAGAGCCAAGTAATTCTTCATCCTGAAAGAAGATTCTATGGAAGGGCAAGTGAGACATGAAGGAAATGTAAAGCGTAGTAGGAATAGGGACCAGGCAAGAGACACCCCCCAAAATCAAACCAAACGGCCATCAAGTCAATTCTGACTCATAGCAATCCCGTATAGGGTTTCTGAGACTGTATAGCTTTATGAGGGCACACAATCTCATCTTATTCTCAAGGAACAGCTGGTAGGTTTGAACAACTAACCTTGCAGTTAGCAGCCCGGTGCCTAACCCACAGCACCACCAGAGCTACAAGAGCCAGGACATGAAGCCTAACTAACCCCTTCCGCTCCTACTTCACCCTCATGCCTGCCACTCCCTCCCACCTGCTCAAAGCCTCCAAGAGTTCTCAGTTACCAATTCAGCCCAGGGTGAAAGTTAGTGGCAGAGCCCTCGGAACTATCTAGCCTCTTGTAGAAGACAACATTGGTGTGCCAGCTGGGTTCTGTCAGAGTCCTTCTGACTGCTTGTTTGCTCGGCTTGGGTTGCCATAACTTTGGGATGTAACTTAGGCTCCAGAGACCCCTGTAGGCTCAGGCTGCAGCCACCCTCTCCTGACGCTGAGCTCAGTTCCCACTTCTTCTGCTTCCCGGACTCTTCCCCTCAATCCTTTTCTCATCCCTCTGGAGGCGTGGTCTCAGTAAACCACTAGCACACAAATCCTGACTGGAAGGCTGGAACGAGTTCCAGTACAAAACTCCACACTCCTCTGGCCAATATTGCAACTGGGAGGAATCTGAGAAGTTGAATGTGGCGGGCCAAATGCCCTCCAGGGACTGAGGAAAACGAGTCCAGGCTCTGGCCTTAAAGGGATGTGAAAAAGTTTCCTTACACCATGAGTCATCCTGAAAGGGCTGGGCAACCCTGGTGAGAAAGAAGTTTCCAGAAGATCATTCTACTGACTACAAACTAATTGCAGAATCTTTCCATCATTCAAGAAGAACTAAGGTGCAGGAGAAAGTACAAAAGGTAAGAAGGTCCTTCCTGGAAGAAGGAAGGTGGGGTGTTGAATGTGAACAACAGTCGTCCCTTTTGATTTATGAGAAGGGTCTTTCAGACACAGTTTGCAAGTGCTGCTGGTGGTTTGCCTTTGCCAGTTCTCCCTGCCCCGCCCCTACCTCAGCGCACTCCCAAGCTTCTGCTCATTGGCTGTGCTAATCTAAGCCTTCCTTAGAGCCCTCCACAGCTGCCTGATGGCTGACGTCTCATAGAATGCAGAGAACATTCTGGCCAAAAGGATTCTAAGGGATTCTGCCTCCCAACCCTTCTTTTACAGAGAGGAAAGTGGAGGTCTGCAGGGTGAAATCAGTAGGGCAGTGTGGAATCTGATAAGGTCAAGTCCAAGGTTCTAGGCCAAGTATATTGTGCACGTTGGGAATCAAGGAGACCTGGGTTTGAATCACACCTGCAAGACTATGAGCAAACTACTAAGTTTCCTGAATTACACGTACATCATCTATAAAGGGAATCTAAGAGAATGCACCTCATTGAGTCAGTTTTAAGGTAAAGCTATGTCTGACCCTTATTAATGAGCAATATGATAGTTATGCTTATAGCCACTATGACTATAACTACTCTCAAGTTGACATCATTTTATTCAACAAATTTCTGTAGAACATTGTTATCTTTTATGTTCTGAACCCAATCAAAATCAAACTCACTGCCATCAAGTTGATTCTGACGTGACCCTCGATTGGGTTTCCAAGGCCGTGTAAATATATATGACAGAAGAACGACGTCTCGCCTTTCTCTCTCAGAGAGGATGGTTAGTTCGAATCATCACTTTTTTGTTACTTGATTCCTTGACAGCACCATCAGGCCTCCTCCAGGTCTAGAACTCACTGACATTG